TGTAAGGATTAGAAGCGTTACTGCCCAGTCGCAGCATCGCTGTACGAGTTCATTTGGGAGGTAGAGTCACCGCGCAGTGCCACGCTGAATGGACTGGATCCCGATGAGGATGCTGCGCACGTCACCGCGCTGGCAACGCCTATACCGTCGCGCCTGGGTGGTAACGCTCCCCATGTTCCCGCGGGCCCTGTTTCTTCGCAACTTTTGATGCTGAATAACTCAAGGAACTGCAGTAGAGCCTTGAAAAGCTGCCTGAAACATGTGCTCACAACCCCGAGCGCAGGTATGCGGCATGGTGTTTCGAGTGTACTTTCAATTCTTAGTAGCGCTAAGCACTAATGGCAACTTCCGCCGTTACCAACGACGCGCTTTTATAATCCGGCAAGCCTATAAGCCATCAGATCACCCCGAGTGACGAGGGAAGCCGAGATCTGGGATGAAACTATGGATGGTCTTCAGCCAGGTGCACCAGATTAGGATTAAACGCGCTGTTGAGAATGGGGGCAAACCGCGGAAAGGATCGAACAAGTGTCGATGTGGAGAAACGGCAATGCAGCGAGCACTGATTGTTCCCATCTAATCACGCGCGGTCTGGGGCACTCCCGGACCAGTACTCACACCTCTCACACCCCAAGTCTTCCATTCTCCGAAGCCGGTAAATTGATCCATTCTGGATGATGGAGGATCAAAGAGCTCCTGGACACTGAGCAGATTAACCCGAGTCAGACGGCCTTGGCAGAGACCTGCAGTATTCTGGCTAGACACACCGACAAGACCCCTCCCTTCACAGACACTACTTCGATCAACATGAATTCCTCGAAGAAGAACGGAATCGGGAAAACTAAAAACTAAAAACGGAAAGTAGAGGGACTGTCCGGACTAATAACGGGTCAGGTAACCAGCGCAGCGACACTACAGAAGCGATATTGAACTCGGGTCGGCATCGGCTTTTATCGTAAGCATCCAAAGCGGTGAATTCAAGAAGCAAGCCGAAGAATATCAAAATCCACTGAGCGCTATAGTCCTACACAGAATGAACATACTGTTAAAATTTCGCTGTAACTGACAGGTTTCACTGACAAAACAAAACCCCTGGTGTGGTTCCCATCGCCCCGAGATTTGTTTAACCTGACAGAGATAGTCTGACCTCAAAT